TTTTTTTTCCTTTTTATGATGTTCCATTTCAAACTTTATTTGACTTGATACAAAAACAAAAAATACAATGCAGTAAAATGATATAAAATTTATCAGATATAAAAATATCTTGTCTTTAATTAATTGTAGATTGACAATATTTGTTGGGAAAAACTGATTATGCAAATAAAAATTATGCACATTAGATGCATTGTTATGCAAATTGGCCGTGATGCTTGACATGAAGTCTGGGGAGAACACTGTTTTATGATCTACCACAAATGATAATTATATGCAAATTAGACTGTATAATTAGCTTTTTAATTTGTGGTGGACACACCAATAAATAGTTTATGCTTGCAATTATTTCTGTATGTAAATCTTCCAGATTGAAGACACTGTTCCATTCTCTGCTACAAAATAAATGTAGTAGCATTGAAAAAAGAAACCACGGCCATTAAAGATAGATGAACTTACGATGAAGCTCCTCAGTTTCCCTGTCCAGTTTGGCTGTATCCTTGGATGACGAATGTTGCTTATTAGTGGCAGCAGTGACTGAAAACCAAATATAATAGTACCATAAAATATGCATTAGAAACCGCATCCCTAATAAAAGCCATGCCCATACTTTAGAACAATTGAGAACCCCAAATTCACCATTTCTCATATGTGTGCATGTAGATGGTCTATAGGAAAGAAGTTGCTTCCCCTTTGCAGCATTTTAATAGAAGCCACAGATTCTAATACGGATTTTGCAGTTGTACCTAATATGCAGAACCAATTGTTTAAATTTTGGAGTCTGGAGTGGGTCAGCCAATGTTAGTTTCAAATTATTGAAAGTTAATGACAATCCCTGTATGAGATTATACATATGACACATGTACAAATCTGAATCACACAAGCAATAAATTCCAGGGCATGCCATTTGATGGAAGTGATCATTCCCCTTGCCCATCACTCTCACAAAATGAAGCTTGCCTAACCACTTACGTTACTGTGTTCAGGAGAGAGTCATTTTTTACTCGCCCCCTATTTTTAAAAAGACAAGGCCTGGAAATCAGACACTTACATTTCTTTGATGTTTCTATATCCTGTCCCCTTCTCTGGGCAGCATTAATGGCCTGTAATACATGGTATAGATTACATAAAATCAATGTACAATATACCAACAAAGCAATGAATTTTGTTTTATTTATAAATTTGTAGAAACATCTCAATTTAATATTTCTTCATCAAATGTTTTTGGTAATATTTATTTATAATTAGTATTCCATGAGTCAGTTATTAGTACCGATTCATGTGTCGACACTTACCATATATTTTGTAAACACAAATCTAACATATTGTAAGATCCCAATAAAGTTTATATTTTCAGCTAAAATTCAATATCCCTTACACTACCGTTTGCCCGTCCACCGTTTGGTTGAGTTGAGAAAATAAGAAATCATGAATATGAACACAGACATTTTTATGATGCAATACACAAAAAGTAAACAACTGATATCCCACTCAAATAAGGGTGGTTGATTGAATATTTCAGATCCAGGCCCATAATTTCACAAATACATCGTGTTCTGGATTTTAATTTAAAAACGGTAGCGTTTAAACATTACAAGTTTAATCTGTGATCACAAATAGGTGCTATTTGCAGCTTTAACTTATAAAACGTGCTTAGAATGGTCAAATACTCAATGTCGAACTAGTTTCATTCGTCGACGGAAAAAAACGTGTTTACCTGCTTTGACTTGGCCTGACTGGCAGTTGGTGCTTTTTTCCTCAGATACGTTACAGATTCCCAGTCTGCTTCAGCCATTTTTACTTTTCTGTCTGTGTTAAAATTTTACTGTCAGAGGATGTGAGTTGTATAACCCAGAATTGCGCCTTATTTGTGCAATTACTTAGAGAAGATTCCAATTACGATCTAGCAATGGCGTTTACGTACGTGTGGTGAAACACGCTATGTTTGTTTTCTTTTCCTTTTCTCCACGTTGGAATTTCATAAGGCGCGCCACCAGCGATCGAAAATGTAAATGTATTTAATCAACAAGGTTTAGACAAAGTATTTCGCTCATAAAAAAACAGTTAACAAACAAGCATGAAGTTACATGATTCCCGCCAGCTGTTATAAGACTTCCTAGCAGCTGAACATCCAGCATCTACCTAGGGCGCCGACAAGATTAAATGAAAACGTCCACAGACCTTGACACAGAACCACGGTGTATTCGTGCCATTAAACTGGTCCAAGTCTCGTGATACGCTCGCCTGGGCTAGTTATTTTCTACGGCTGCGACGGGGATAAACATGTTAACAATTGATCTGCGATTCAGTCATTTTCTACCACGAATGTTACTATAATAACTTATGTCATACAAATGTTTTGTTTTGTGATTGTGTTAGTAGTAACGTTCAAACTGGCAGTACGTTTACCGTGGCGTCAGTACCAGTACAAACCTTATGTCATTTTTCTGTCATATGTTCGAACCTTCTGACATTTAGTGTGATTCGTAATATATCTGCTTCATCTTCCAACAGCGTAATATCGCCTTGGTTTTCACTGCTCACATTCCCACTCATTGCGTGAATACAACCGAGCTCGCCCAGATTTCAGCTCGGCCAATAAAAAATGCACAACTCGGCCAGTTGTGAATGTCGAGGTGTAAACGGGTCATTGGTCAACAATCGTCACCTTCTTTCACGTTTGTTGCCGTGGCGGCATTTTATTTCCAGATGTTATATGCTACACAACACACCCAGTGACGCATCCGTTTCACTGACTGTTTTTGACTAACTCCCGTGACTGTTTTGTTGTCGATTTC